GGTCAACTCATCATGGTCAACCCAACCATGGTCAACCCATCATGGTCAATCCAACCATGGTCAACTCATCATGGTCAACCCAACCATGGTCAACTCATCATGGTCAACCCAATCACGGTGAGTCCATCATGGTCAACTCATCATGGTCAACCCAATCACGGTGAGTCCATCATGGTCAACCCAATCATGGTCAACCCAACCAGGGTCAACCCAACCATGGTCAACCCATCATGGTCAATCCAACCATGGTCAACCCATCATGGTCAACCCAACCATGGTCAATTCATTGTGGTCAACACAATCATGGTCAACCCAACCATGGTCAACCCATCATGGTCAATCCAACCATGGTCAACCCAACCACGGTCAACCCAACCATGGTCAACCCAACCATGGTCAACTCATCATGGTCAACCCAACCATGGTCAATCCAACCATGGTCAACCTAATCATGGCCAACCCATCATGGTCAGTCCAACCATGGTCAACTCATCATGGTCAACCCAACCGTGGTGAACCCAACCATGGTCAACCCAATCGTGGTCAACCTAATCATGGCCAACCCATCATGGTCAGTCCAACCATGGTCAGTCCAAGCATGGTCAACGCAACCATGGTCAACCCATCATGGTCAACCCAACTGTGGTCAACATATCATTGTCAAGTTGACCACAGTCAACCCAAGCATGGTCAAACCAACTATGGTCAACCCATCATGGCCAACCCAACCATGGTCAACCCATCATGGTCAACCCAACCAGGGTCAACCCATCATAGTCCAAGAACGGTCAATTCATTATGGACAATGCAACCATGGTCACCTCATCATGGTCAACCCAACTGTGGTCAACCCATCATTGTCAACTTGACCATGGTTAACCCAAGCATGGTCAACCCAACTATGGTCAACTCATGATGGTCAACTCAACCATGGTCAACCCAACTATGGTCAACTCAACCATGGTCAACCCAAATATGGTCAACTCATGATGGTCAACTCAACCATGGTCAACCCATCATTGTCAACTTGACCAGGATCAACCCACCATGGTCAACCCAACTATGGTCAACCCATGATGGTCAACCCAACTGTGGTCAACCAAACCATGGACAACCCAATGTGGTCAACCCAACCGTGGTCAACCCACAATGGTCAACCCATCATGGTGCACTTGATCAAGGTCAACCCAAGCATGGTCGACCCTACTATGGTCAACCCATGATGGTCAACCCAACTGTGGTCAATTCATGATGGTCAACCCATCATGGTGCACTTGATCAAGGTCAACCCATCATGGTCAACCCATCATGGTCCACCAGATCATGGTCAACCCAACTATGGTCAACCCATGATGGTCAACCCAACCGTGGTCAACCAAACCATGGACAACCCAATGTGGTCAACCAAACCATGGACAACCCCACCGTGGTCAACCCAACCACGGGACGGTTTGGGGGGGACAAAATTGAGGTGGGAGGTCCCCTGGATCTCCAAAGTCCACCTGAGGAGAAGCTTTTTTTGAGGGAAAAAATTTGGAATTTGGGGTTTTATGGAAAAAGTGGATTTTTTAGGAGAGAAGGTGGATTTTTTTGGGGGGAAAAGTTGGAATTTTGGGGGAAAATGTGAATTTTTAGGGGAAAAAGTGGATTTTTTTCGGGGGAAGATGGATTTTTTAGGGAAAAAAAGAGAATTTTGGGGAGGAAAACGTGGATTTTTCTGGGGAAAATTGGATGTTTATTGCGGAAAAATATTTTTTGTGGGGAAAGAAGAAAAGTTTGGGAGAGAAGTTGCTTTTTTTTGGGGAAAAAGGCTTTGTTTTTTTTGGAGGTAAAGTTGGTATTTTTTGGGGGGTAAAAAGGCATTTTTGGGGCAATTTTTTTATGGGGGGAAAGAAAATTTTGGGAGGGAAAAGTCACATTTTTGGGGGATAAATGAATTTTTTGGGAAGAAAAAAGAAATTTTCTGTGGGGAGGAAAATTTTGGGAGGGAAAAGTCACATTTTTGGGGGATAAATGAATTTTTTGGGAGGAAAAAAGAAATTTTCTGTGGGGAGGAAAAGACATTTTTAGGGAAAAAAAGACATTTTTAAGAGGCAAAAAGGCATTCTGGAGGGGAAAGGTGATTTTATTTCAGTAAAAAGCCACTTTTTGGGAGGAAAAAACCCCATTTTTTTGAGAAAGAGATCATTTTTGCACAGGAAAAAAAGAAATTTTGGGAAAAAAAAAAATTATTTTTGCGGACAATCCTTTTCTCTAACCCCTAAACCCCTTTTTAATGGGTGGAAAACTCATTTTTTTGGCTGAAAAAATTGATTTTTTTGGTGGGAAATCACGGTTTTTTTTGGATTTTTTCCTCAATTTTTTTTTTTAAGGGTGGAAAACTCAATTTTTTAGAATATTTTGGGTGGGTTTTACCTTTTGTAGACCACCTTGAGGTCCCTCCACTCGAGGAAACTGCACATTTTGGGTTTCCTGGCCAGCACCACCTGCATCAGCTCCCGGACCATTTTCTTCTTGTCCTTGTCGGCCGTGGCCAGGTACCACTTCTGCAGCCTCAGTTTCCCTTGGCGGCTGAACAGCAGCATGAACCGCATCTGGGGGGGGCTGGGGGGTCACTGGGAGGGACTGGGAGCACTGGGAGGGGATC